TGCCTATATGTTTGTTTCATGACGTTAGAAAGGTTTGCCTTGAAACAACCTTGTGTGTCTTGGCATGTTTCGTCGAGTTTTACGTGTTCGTTTTGGATGAAATTCATGTCTTGGCATGTTCGTTTTGGATGAAATTCGGGTGGAAGTCCCCAAGGACCAACCAAGGTCCCTTGAGGAAGGACCCTTTCTTTGAGCCAAGGTTGTCTAGACCAGGCCCCAAATGACTGAGGCAAACGACGGCTCGTGGGACAGTCGATGCCCGTCGATGGGTGTCGTGGGTCAACACTTAGCCTAGGGAGCTCAAGCTCCACCAAACAACGAGAGGATAGGACGGTCCGTTTGTGGACAAATGGTCCGTCGACTGCCCAGTCGTCGATGGTGCTGTCAACTACACAGCTTCACTGTAATGTCTACGGGTGAAATTGTAAATTCACCCCACGTCCAAATAAGAGAAAGGGCGGTTACTTGGGGGTACTTTAGGTATTCTAAACACATTTATAAGCCTTTAGCACTTAGGAGAATTCATTCTTCAAAATCAAAACTCAAAACCTCTAAAGAGCTCTCTAGAACTCCATTGAAGCTTGAAGGGAGATTGAAGCTTGAAGGTTGATTTCTCCACCAATTTCTCTCAAATTTCGGGGATTAGCTTCAATAAGGTATGGTTTTTGATCCTTGAAACTATATTCATCAAGGAGCCAATCGTCAAAGTGATTTTCAAAGAGGTCTTAAAGGATGAGTTTTCTAAATTGAAATATATCCAACAGTTCTTGCATTAAAGGTTTTAAAGCATTGAATATTGATTGAATTGTTATTAATTTGATGATTTTAACTCAAACCTATGAACCCATGTAATTGATGAACCCTAGTTTTTTACTACTATATGGGTTAAGTGATAGTGACTTAATACTTATGAATTCTAGTGTAGTTTTCTATGGGCTATTGAATGATGTAATAGTTGTATTCAATTGATGCCTAATTGTTCTTAGATTGATAAATCTATATTGAATTGACCTAGATTCATTGAGCATTATAGTTTATGTATTGGATTGATGTTATGGCCATGGATAAGGGCCTGGTGGTATTGAATTGGATGATTTAGACATGGATTGAAGTGGAGAGAATGGATTGATGGTACGCTGCCCTAATTCTCTTTATTTCATGTTAATTAGACTTTAATTATGTTGTGATTGGTATGGTCCACTTATGGTGGCGGTGCTATGTCCCTTACTTGCAATTGATGTAGCCTTGTAGGTGTTACTTTATGGATTATGATGACCATGGCCTTGTCAGCAACTACTTGAAGTATTATGATGACTTGTGTACTTGATTTATGTGGAGTATGAGCATATCTATCTACAAGTGATTAAGTGTAAGTATGAGTTCTTCTATTGTTCCTAGGTGATCATGTTAGACAATGACTATGTCTTATGTGTGTAGTCTTAGAGTTGATGCATGATAATTCCTAATTGACTATATGAGTTTATGATGGTTATATTGATCATGATATAGTAATGTATAGAATGACATAAGGATGATAAGGGTCATTCCTAAGTGCTTCAAAGAATGATATGCTAATATGTAATAAAGTAAAGTATGTTGTGTCTTGTTTTGGTAGACTTGTGTCCCTTGATACGTGTAAAAATGATATGTGAATATGAGATGCCTTGACTAGGTAAGCTTAGTGCACCCTTGTCATGTATGAATGAATGATATGTGAGACCTTAAAAGATGTTCATGGACGTGGACCTTAAACCTAGTGGTAAGGTTATGTTATGAACTTGGAGTTGAGAGTCGTAATGGTATCCTTCTTGTAATGAATGATGGACTTAGGGTTGATAGGCTAGAACGGCATCATATCATCCTTAGGAAAGTCATGATGAGCTATCCTCCTCACTATTTAAAGGTAGCCCTAGTGGACCTCTTTGGTAGGGTGAATGTGATTGGGTTATGAACTAGATATGGAACCTCTTCATGTGATCCTTTAATGTCAATTACTCTACGAGAACAAAGGCTAGCACCGAGTGATTATGTTATGGGAAGTAGCTCTACTTGAGAAGGAGACTAGAATACAATGTAGCTTTACTTGAGAATAAGAGTAGAGTACATAAAAGCCCTTCATATTCCTTAACCATGTGCCTACATAAGATGTGTCCTAGTTCTACCCTTAGCAAGTAGAACACCCTAATCGGAGTAGGTTAGAACTCCGGGTTCCATGTTTAGCTATCATGGTCTATGTCGGGGGATACCTACTAGCATTAGGGAAGTTTTATGAAGTTTAGGTGGTGGTATAGGACGTTATCTAGACATTGCACAATAGGCTTTGAAGATGTTAGTGAGAGTTCTTCTCTAAGACCATTACTTGAATGTCCTTGTGTGATGAATGAATCTTGAATGAACTAATGAATGTAATGACTTAAAAGTTAAGAAAGCATGTTAAAATGAATAAATACTTATCTAGAGTAGTTAAGCTGTGAAGAAGGCATAGGAATGGTCACTTAGTATCTCACCTAGATAAGTCTTAAGAATGACTCTAGTAAGGGAAGTTGGTTGATTATGTAGACATGATCTAAGCGTTCGGTAGTCTTAAGAATTATTTAGGTAATCTTGAAGAGGTCAATCATGGTCGTTATCTTCTTGATTTACTTAAGTAAGTCTTTTGATAACCTTAGGGAGGAGAATGTCATATTATATGTATGTTGTTGTATTAAAGGTAAATGATTCTATCTTAGGTAGTCTATAGGATCTCTTAAGAGTGTGAGAGGGATTGTATGGGTGGTCGCTTCACAACTCACTCAAGTGAACCTTAGAATCACCTTTGAAAGGAGGATCTCATGTTCATGTGGTTGATGTATTGTAAGTGTGTGTATCTCATTATAGGTGGTCTTAAGAATCACTTAGGTGTGCCTAGAGAAGGTGGGCGGTCTCTCTTTGTCTTACTTAAGTGAGTCTTAGGATAGCTTCTAGTGAGGGAATTGCATGCTATAAAGTGTCTATACTAAAGCTAAGAAACTTCACTGTAACAGTGAAGTATATCACTGTAAGTTTTTTCTAAAAATGTGCTAAATTGATTATGTGATTTCTTATGTATTTCTAAGGTGTTAACTGTTGTTCTTATGATTATATTATGATATTTAAGTCAAAAAGAAACATATTTCCAATAAATGTCCGTTTTCATGATTTTATGCATTATGTCATACTCAGTACATGTGTTTGTACTAATTCCATGCTTTTATCTATCGCAAAAGTGATTCATAGGCTAAGGTGCTTTTGAGAGCTAAGCTTGGATTAGAAGATCGTTCAAGCAAGTTGAACTATGTCCTCATTTGACTCGAGGGCATAGATGTCTTTTATTTCTCTTATCGAAGTACGGTAATAGACTTAGAAGTACTTATGTCTATTGTGTATAGGTCGTGTCCCAAAGTATTCTTGTGTCTAAGCTAGCATTCATAGATTCCAAATATTCTTGGCAAATATTATTTGGGCGAAATTCTACCATGTGTTTGACCATAGTATTTGGGAAATATATTTCACTTTTTTAGAAAAATATAATTTATACCCATAAGTTGTAAAAATATCAAAACTAACCATAAGTTTGTATTACAAGTCAATTGAATCTTTGTTACAATAATAACAAATAGTGTTCATGACACTATAGCAATGTGGTAATTTTGAGTGAGTGCAACAAGCATCATTTCATACATCATGAAGTAGACCAGACACATAACTTTGTTATCTTGAACCGATTATTCATCATTTTCATCAATAATCATATTATCATTTTACATTCACAGAATATTTAATCACTACATTGGAATTAATGTAAAAAATTATGTAATACAACATAAGCAACAACTATGAAATTTGGCCCAAATACTAGAAAAAACTACTATTGGGGAATTTGGGATATTTGCCAAAATATTTGCCAAATAATGGCAAAGTGTATGGACAAACACTATTTGCCAAGTTTTAGACTCATTATAGGGATAGGTCAGTATTATTAGAGCCTCTTATGTCAATATCGTTTCCATTAGAACCTATGTACTATTCTACAAAAATAAAACAATTACCATTTTCAAAAAAGATAAACAACAGACTATATCAAATACCAAAAGCCAAAAGACTACAAGAAAAAGCTAATACTACAACTGACACAAAACTCTATACTACCACCAAACCAAATACATGAATAGGCTATTAATAGGACAACTTTTAACTACCGACTAACCTCCGTACCCTACTGTCTAAGGTCATCTCTTTGATAAGCTGAAGATGTGTCATATGTAGTTGAATCACCTCCCCAATAATTCCTCTGCCCTACCTCTGCCTCTCCTCGACCCACTATATTAAATCTCTCACACCTCCTCATTGGGCCATCTACACATACCTTCTTCCAATGCACAAACCATCATTGTCTATGTTCCCTCATCTAGTCCACACGAAGGTCATTCCCACTTTCTCCTGGATATCCTCATTCCTAATCATATCGCTCCTAAATCCTAATATGCCCACAGATCCATTTCAACATTCTTATTTCCGCCACTTGCATTTTTTGTACCTAGGAGTTCGTAATTGGCCAACACTCTGCCGCATAAAAAAGCCTGTCTAACAGCACTCAATTAAACTTACACAAAAGTTTTTAAAAAAAAGATGGAGAGAAAAGGATTGGAACTTTAATACAATCCCAAAAAGAAGCCTGAAGCCCTTGATAACTTCTTAACAAATAAGAAAAATCCAAAATTAGAAAATTTGGAATGTTTCAAGAGAGATTAAGAGGATTATATATTAGAAATTTGGAAAAGAATTACTAGAAGAGACCTATTAAAGTTATTTTTTCAGAACTTAGCACATAAAAAATTACAAAAATAGAATTCAAATGAAATTATGTATGTTAAGTGTTCTTTTCTCATTTTTCTACAAAAACCTTAAAGCTTCTCATTGAAGTATTGTTTGAAGCAACACATATTTGTTGAGTCACCCATGCAATTTAATGAAATGAGTACCTTTGTTAACTTGTCTCCACCATTCATCAATTTGCTTTCCTTTTTGTAGCTGCTCGTTATTCAGGTATTCTCTTGTTGCTGTATTTAGTGTCCAAATGCGCAAGTTCTGACAACTGCTAATGAAATCAAGTAGGATACTTTGAGGATTATTGGGATCAGAGCTTTTCTCCTCTTTATGGAACGAAAGAATTTTTCTGGTCGTCTCCACCTAACAGCAAATTGTGAAAATCATAAAAACATACAACGATAGGCTATAACACCAAAAACATAATTTAATAACTTATATTCTCATGAACAACAGGAAAAGAAAATAAGAAACAAAAATTATACAAGAAAATTGATATACAAAGCTTTAAACATGGAGACGAAACTGCAATGATGCATTTCTGGTTCAGCACCTGGATGGGGAATTTTCTTCTAAAATAATAGGAAACCTCAACCCCCACCCCCACCTCAACCCCCCACCCCTTCCAAGGAGCCATCATTGGCTTTTCCCACTTGCCCCTTGATGACTCGAACCTTCCAACGGTGGAGGCCCCTTTCTCCTCCACCATATTTCCCAGAAATTCTTGAAATCGGAGACAGATAAATATGAAATCAATGCAATTAACCAGCACCTAAAACATCAAGGTCATTACCAAAACGATTATATTAAAGTTCAATCAGTTTGTATCTTCCTTAGGTGTAAAAAAGTAGTTATATCCAAGATGGAAAACCTTTCTTGAGTCTGTATTTAGAGCATTCATCACTAGTTCAACCCGAATAATTTGTGCAAGTAACCACGTAACATGGTTCGTCCTAAGTATTTGTTGATCACCCTCTTGAAGTCGAAATACTAATTTGTCCACGAACTCCACAAAATCAACGCATCCACTTTTCATGAGAAAAAAGAATATATCAGAGAATATAAGCCACTCCTGCCAGCAATTGATTTCTGCAGAAAGTAAGGAGAGTACATTAAAACTATCAAACTATGCCAATCATATAGGAGGAGAGAAACTTAGTAGGAAATAGAGCAACTCATTAATATCAACAATATACTTATTAATGTATATAAGGCGTATAGGAAGTTTTAGAGTCAAAACGTCAAGGAACGTCCATGACGTCCGGAGACTAGTGCAAAAGGTGTTAGTGTGACTTAGCCTATTTCACGGGGTTTTAGGAGTTGGTATTTGATGAAATTTAGTGAAAGGTGTCTAACACATATTAGAGTAGGTTTAGGGTCGAAACAACTCCCCAAGAACCACCCTAGTGGAGGAACCTTGCATTTGACCCAAACCTGCCAAATGAGGCAATGCAGGCAGAAGCTACCTATGCTTGCCATTGACGGGGCGTAGGTGAAACAACAGGGCATCGATGCCTCCGTCGACGGACACTTAGCCATTTTCCAAAAATGGCCAAAATGCATAGTCTCTGTCACAAACTATGGATGGGCAGGACGGTTGGGGGGCATGGGCGTCGACCGACCTACAGACCGTAGGTCGGGGGTCTTGTAGGTCAGTTCTGTAATTTCGCTGGTGAGCTTTAATTGGTTCATTTAATTAGTAATTAGTTAGGGGTTTAATTAGGGGTTAAGGGGTAGTTAATTAAGTTAGATAAGTCACTATATAAACTACCCTAAGCCTAAACCCAAAATTAACACTTTCAATTCCTAAACACAAATTGCTCTTCCTTCTCCCTACTTTCTCTCTCCCAAGGAAGACTCCATAGAAGACCAAGGTCTAAGGGTTCTAGGGCAGGAAGAAGATCACTTTTCTCTATCGATCTCAAGTAATATCAAGGTATGGGAACTCTTCACCTTTGGGTTCTCTTTCCCCAAAGGGTTCTTCAGAAATTGGTTTTCAAAAAGACAATTTCATATGGGTTTCTTCCCAATTCGAATTTGTTCTTCTAAATTTTATTGTATATGTTTTCCTTTGGTTATTATGTTTGGATTATGATGTATTATTGTGCAATTATGCTAGTTCTTGATAATTTAACCTAGTATGAGGGATAGATCATGAATTGACCCTAATTCCTTAACCCTAGGTTATGACTAGTGTTGAATTGATTTGTAATGATACAATTGACTTGGTTATTGTGTTAATTACTATTGAATGATGTTATTACACCTGTTATTGGATGAAATAGGTTGGTTGATGGTAAGACCATGGATGATGACTATGGAAGGAGATTTGGTAAGTCTTTGTGATCTCAAACCTTTATTTCAATTGTGATGGCTTGTACTTGGTGATGAAGTTCAATTGAAGTATATCTTGTGATTAGACTAAGTAGGTGTGGTACAATGATGCAATTAGAATGTCTTGATTATGTGATTGTAAAATTATGCTTAAGATGTAGAGATATAAGGTTGGTTATGATTGCCTATGTGCATTATTACGACATAATGATGATAATGTGCAAATCTCAACACATGAGGGTTGTATAAAAGGATATTTTCATGCAACTCCTATTGAGCTAATGACTATAACTTTACAAGAAGTAGTCTCCTATGACCTAAACTAAGTTATGATTGTTAAAGATATACATTTCAAAAGGGACTCTAGCTTAGCACCGTGTGAACTAGTAGTGAGGAGTGTCCTTTCCCATGTAGGGAAGGTAGGTTCACTATTGTACTCATGAGATAGGAGACAATAATGCATGGTGCATAAAGAGGGTCCCATGTACATCTCCTAGTTCATAAACTATGTTGCCCCCACAGGAATACTAGCTAGTGGATCCACCTAGATGCTATGTTCATGAATGGTACCACCTTGGCGAGTAGTCCACCTTCTTTCGGTGTAGGGTTACATGGCACTGGATTCCACATTAGCTCGGCTAAGGAAATATGTTCCCGAAAGTAAAATGAAGTAATAAAGTGAACTCTAACTAGGAGGACTCAAGGGGTTTGACTTAGACTAGGTAAGGGTATGGGACTCTACCTATACATTGCACTAGTTGGCCTTGAGGGAAGTCCTAGAACAATGTTCTTATGTTCTTATGCTCTTATGAAATGAATGACATGCTTATATTGATTCTTAATGTTAATGGTCTATATTGCTAAATATGATGATGAATAATCATGATGCTATGTTATGTGAACTTAGACATTATTCATGATCCTTTGCTGGTTTGCTTGGTTGAGTGGAGTTATGGGGCTTCACTTGATCATTGCACTAGTAGGCTTAGTAAGGGGTTATGGGTAAGGGTTTTACTTGTGTTATAATTTTGTGAACTCATGAACATGCTTTGTTGTTATAACATGATGTTGGAGTTGCTTTGGCTATGAATTCAAATATGCTATACACGTGTTAACTTGACTATATTTGATGATGTTGGTCTTAAGTTGAATATACTATTGTCTTAAGGAATATATGATTATTGTTTTATTTGTGTTCTTGGTTGTGCATAGGCTTTTTAAAGTAACTTGGCATGGTTTTGAACAGATGTCCCCTTTAGCATGATTTCTAAGTTGTGTGTGCATATGTTTTCATACTTAGTACAAGTGATGTACTAACCCCTATTTCTCCCTTTTTACCAAACATTTTAGGTTCCGGTCGTTGAAGGGTTCGTGGCTAATTTGCAAGAAGGCTTGGATCATTTCTCCAAGTCTGGGTATGTCCTCAAGATCCGATGATGGTACCTTTTCTCATTCTACCTATGTGACTTGTTATAGTCTAATGAATTCGTTTCACTCTTATTTTTCACGACATTGTTGTAAGCCCTGAGTGGCCATTATACATTTATGTAAGGGCTATGCCCGAATTGTTTCTATTCTGACTTAGATGGTTTTATATGGGACATCTCTATTAGACTCTATATTGTGTATATTGTATATGTGCCATAAAAACAGAAGCCTGTGTAAGCTTCCTATGCGAGGAGTCTATGTAAACTTCCTATGTATAGATTATGTGTAAGCAAGAGGTCTATGTAAAACTCATGTAGTAGGTGTATGATATGTAATGACGAATGCTAAGAGGCTAGTCTTAGTCCTCTTCGAGGACGCCGACGCCGGTTACATCTAAGGGGTGCTCCCCGGATGTGATAGTTCAAGAGACCATGTACTCCTCTAATACATCCTGGTTTCACCCACGTGATCCCCTTCAGGCTAGTGAAAATTTTCCATAGTTGTTCTGTCCATTTACAATGTAACAAGAGATGGTTGACTGTCTCAGCTTGCTCCCCACACAGATAACACTTAGAGGCCAACTGATAACCTCTCTTGTTCAGGTTCTCATGTGTTAGTGCCAAGTAAAGCAGTTCACTTTGTTAGGCACCTTTGGCTTCCATATCATCTTCCATGGATAATCTTTCTCCTGTCCCCCTGTCCTGTTGATGGCCTTGTGAGCAAACTTGACTGAGAAGTCACCTTCGTTGTCATCCTGTCATAATGACACATCATTTTCCTCGGGCATCGGAATTTTCCTTTATGTCGTGCCCTTGGATGGAGCTTTCTGAATTATCTGAGAAAACATTAATCTTTTATTTTCTATCAGATTATTCACGCGGCAGTGAAGATTGAGTTTCAGTCTCAATGCCAAAGCACTATGCTGGAGATACAGTACCCAACTACTAATATTAATAATAACATTAAAAGAAAGAAAAGGGGAAATCTGAGAAATGTACAAAATGGCAACTCGTATCACAATCTCAAGCAGAGTTTGAAGTATGAGAATATTGCCTGAATTCGTCAACTTCAATAATTCAACAATTCTTTCAATAACTGCCTCGCAAACCATTTCCGATGTAAACACAGCACCCGGAGTTGGAGCCTGGGCATGAACCCTGTGACAGGGAGCCACAAGAAGCACACGTCTCCACCAGTCTGGTGATGGAGCGTTCCGAAGTGCATGCTTTAAACAACGCAAAGCTCGCTCCCAATCCAGGCTTCCTTTTTGAATGGAAGCTGCAAGATCCTATTTTCCAAATAAATGCAAGTACATTTAAACAACAAAAATATTATTTAACCATAAAACAAAGAAATTATAGATAACAACTGGTCCATGTAAGATAAATAAAGTCCTCAACTGGTCCATGTAAGATAAATAAAGTTCTGGCCTGTATACTGTATGTCCCGTGTACATATACATTAGCAGAAGGGAATAGAGAAGACTGATATGGGCATCATATGCCGTAGCTTTTTTTATTCAAGAACATCATTAGCTATAGCCTACAGTAATTTTATGCAGATTGAACCTGCCTTTGAGCCCAAGTTACATACTTCATCTCTTGGTCAAACACCTCGTGTGAAGCTCTTCTGAACTGAGATAAGCAGCGCAGCATCCATGAATGTTCCTCAAATATGAACAATAAGGCTCTGCTCAGTAGATAACGAATATTAACTGGATTTCTGGGTAACACCTACAACCCCCATCCTAAAGATAATGATGAATATACGTCATTCCAAGGACTTGAATGGATGACAATAACGATAGCATAAAGGCTATTTGGAGGCAGCCTATACTCCTTATTACCTTAAGCTACGAATAATCTGACTCCAAAACCACGCCCAATAGAGACGAAACACACTAAGATATTCATTCCGATATGCCTAAGCATGTAGGAAAAGTTGACTGCTACTTGTGCTTCTAGGAAGTAGCAGGTTCCTGATGGACTAGTCAAAATGTGTGCAGCCTGACCTATGCACCACTGGCAGTTGGGGCAGAGCTACAGTTTTAGTTACTCGTTCGGCAAAATCCAGTAGCTTTGGCCTAAACCCTGTATTTGTATTAAAAGCCTACTAAATATGTATAAATAATTTAACAAGAACCCAATAAGTGCGTGCATACACGATTCTGGTGCAAAGTCTTCTTCAATGTTGACTATGGGCAAAGTTGATTATTGTGCAGTTGCATTAATTTCGCAATTCTTTTGTGCACTGTAGAACTCTCAGATTAAGAAAACTGTTTACTACACGAGCTTTTGCAGTAGTCTTTTCACATTTATTTGCTTTTATTATTTTTTTAAAACATAATTATTGGTCTCCTCTTATTAGAAGGTTATTCAGTCCCTATTCATTTTTATTAATATTAAAATGCCTAAATCTAAATAGACATCGAATATTAAGATCAGAGCCCGTTTGGATTGGCTTAAAAAAGTAGCTTTTAAGTCAAATTTAAATGACTTTTAAGCCAAAAATAAAAAGTTGTAGTAATTGTGGTTGGCGGTGATGATTATAAACAATGGCCAATGGTAGTGGCGTTATGTTGGTTGATGTTGCTGGTGGTTTTGGATGATGATGATGGCTGTGGTAGGTGGATGATGGGTGGTGATAGTTGATAATTATGGGCATTGATGGTAGTTGATTATGGTAAACGGCAGCGGTAGTTGTTGTTAGGTCAAAGAGGATGGAGTAGTGAAATGTCTACTTTGCAGAAATCCTTGAACGAATAGCATCTTATTGATATGAAGACTTTGTTATAGGTCTCAATAATTCATATCTGCTCAGACTAAAAATGCATGTAAAAAAGAAAAACAATACTCAATGATTCAGATCCGAAAAATCCAGACCTACAAAACAAACACACCTAAAGACAAAATCTGAATGATTCAGATCCATACATGCATTAAGTGAAAACAAATGAGAGTTTAGACCATCGTATGACATGGCAGATTGTGCTAAGAAGACGGAAAAGGAAAAGAAGCAATGGTTTGGCTTGATGTTTCTCCTATTCGGGCTAAAATTTAATAATTTGGAAAAATTGGCTAGTTTTTAAATAGCGCCTATAAAAGTGGATACCTGGTGTCATTTCTACATTAAAAAGCACCCAAATTGACATGTGAAGATGCTCAACATTGGTTCATGTGCATGCAAACTAACTGGCAGAGGTCGCTATTGGTTCCCAAATTTTATCATAGTTGTTTTGTATGGCTTAAATTTTGTTCCACTGCCATTACATTTTCATGCTGGTCCAAAATTTCACTAAGGGGTTCAAAAAAAATATAGCGCCTAGAATTTGAAATTGGAACGTCAAGGTGAGTTTTGAACTCACTAAATCACAAAGTCAACGTCTAGTCTTGTGTTTAAGACATCAAAATCTATATATCTACACTAAAAAATTTAAAAAGACCTTATATGTACCGTATAACTTTATGCCAAGGGGATATGGCTGAACACCCTCACCCCCTCCTAGATCCGTGTTATCACTCCTTAGTTATCCAATTGTTACAGCAGTAATTTCTTTTTAGTAGTGCAGTTATTTTCCTGTAATGGTGCAGTTATTTTCCTGTAATAGTGCAGTTTTTCATTACACTTAAGTTAGGAAGTCATATACTAGTTTCTAGGGGTAGTTATTTTACAAGTAATGCAGTTAAACTATTTGTGTCTCAGGAAATGAAAGGCTGAAAAGTAATTTAAGTTTTTGAATACTTTAACTCAAGATATTGCAGGTTCTCTCTTAACGAACCAGCAATAAAAAAATAAACTTCAGATTTTATCTTCCAGTGTCCCATAACTAGATCCATAACAGGGGCCATAACTTGGTATTGGAATTCAACATCAACAGGCACAATTGGTGAACTTATTAACAACTTGGTATTACAATTCAACATCAACGGGCACAATTGGTGAACTTATTTCAAGAAGAACGTGCAACCAATATAGCGAGACAGGAAGTAATAAATGCACGCTTAGATGCACTCACAAAATATCTAGCGAATTCAAAGGTTGATTCTGAACCAACTAAACATACCAGTCAGAATCGAGGTTGGAAGGTAAAAGTGGAGCGGCAGAAGGGTCAAATCAGATGCAGGAGGAAATTCCATCATTCTTAGGTATACAAAGTTGGATTTTCCACGATTTACTAGCCAAGGGGACCCTTTGGGATGGCTGAACAGATGCGACCACTTCTTTCGCCACCAATAGACTCCAAATGAAGAAAAAGATGGAGTTGCTTCTTTTCATTTTGTAGCTATGTTAGTTCATTACAATTTTTGTGAAGTCCTTACTCTTCTCTTTAGGTGTAACCTGTAACAACATTCTCTTCATGCTGCTTATTTTACATCAACTATAATTCTTATTTTACCGATTAAATGAAAAAAATTGGTCATGTTAAGTTTCATCCCCAAAAAAACACTTAAAAACTTGAAGCTGGTGTCAATGTTCGTGAAAAAAAATTATCAAAAACATGGGAACATAAATTAAGGCATCCATGAGCTGAAGATAGGATGATTAGATCGTCTTTGTTTGCTCAGGGCCACCATTTATCAGGACCTAGATGGTAAGTTCAGATTCAATAAATTCAAGAAAATAATCACAGGAAGTCCTAAAGAGAACCACTGGACTAGGAAACAACAGACTCCCCCCAATCAACTTAAGAGAACTAGATAAGGAAGACTCTACCCAATCAACTAAAGAATCAGAAATGGCCAGAGCATGAGAAGAATTTATCTTTCTCACCCATAGCCAACCACATAAAAAGGCATTAGATATAGGCTTTAATCACCATAGAACGGATCAGATACTCCAGCCTAAACTCCACAAACTACCATCAAAATCATTTCTATAATCCAAAATCCCACAATCAAAACCAAGACTATCCCTTTACCCAAGGTACATTCAATTTTAGGACATCAGAGCCCTTTCAACTCAAGATTTAAAAATTGTAAGCAAATCGTTTAAACACCATAAGCGAAAAATCAAACTTAAAGTAATAGCTGCCCCAATCCATTGGTTTAGGCGAAACCACCGGAATGCTATAATTGAATGTGTTATGAGCGACAATACAAATACATTTAGAATCAGAATCCTGCAACATTTTCTACATTTAGTATAACTAGCATAAACTCCCTTAACATACTACTAGTCACTAGAATTCATATCATAATCTTCAAAACTGCCCAACTTTTACTGGCAATTGCCATTAGAATCAGTAGTAATTGATTGAAAATCTATTAAATTTTCCACGCTTCTGCATTTCTCCACAACAGTTCCTTTATTTTTTATCTTTTTATTTTCGATAAGTAACAGGTCCATGACTAATTTAACCATACTTTGGCACTGATAAATGTATTAAGTCAGTGTTTTTAATAAGGTTCAGCAATAAAGCACGGCAGTGATGTTCTAGATCTTTCTTTTTTTGGGATAAGTATCATACTAGACCAAAATGGGCATTATTCTTCCTAGACTAACAGGCATTTTTCTTCCTAGACTAAAGTGGGGCACAAAGTATAGTTGTACTTGAATTTATATCATACATAAAACATATATAGTTGTTGATGTCAAGGACACCAAGAGAACTGCCAAAATATGATGCTAAAATGTTCTTTCAGTCCGGAAGATGTCTCACCTGCTCCTTTTTTCTCAAACAAACAGATTCCTATTTACACATTTTATCAGTATGCTTGTACATGATATTTTAACATGGTTCTAATAATATCACATATACATACCTCTCCATGCAATGGTTCCCCAAGCACACTAGAATATGTAATTGGTGAATATCTCATGTTAGCAACTGCTTCACCAGACGAATTTGCAGAGGCTTGAGGAAGAAGTCGAGGGGTCCCAAATGTAGGGCAGTGAAGGTGCTGATCCAACATTTGCATATGCATAGCCATCATATCTCGCCTCCGATGGATCTCCAAAATAAGAGTGAACAGAGCTTCATCATCTGGTATATTTTCTAAAAACTGCAACCCACTCCGGAGAAGTTCATAAAACGGTATACGGCATTTATCATTCTCAACCAGCAACCAAATAACATCTAAACAACTGTGTAGCCACTTAATTAGGGCCTTATCTGGTTTCCAATATTTCGTACTGTCTAATTCATCAATACCATGTAACTTTTGGTCCCAATTAATCAACCAATTCAACATATGGTGGAGAACTTCGGCATGTGTTACTGGCTTAAGATTAGAATCTAGACCAGTTAAAATAATTTTGCAACATAACTGACGCAGACTGCTTGTAGCATTATCATTTAACAACAAATTCACTTTTGCAACAGACTGTTGGCTAGTACCATTAACATCAGAAGACTTCATGGGAGACAAAGCAGCAGAAGATGAGGGTTCAGCTACTGAATGAAGAGGGGACCCAATACCATGGACAGCGGGCAAAGGAGATGCAGGATTTGATGAGTGAAAAATGGAGGTAGACGCTACTGTGGTGGAAGAAGGGAGCAATCCAGATGTTAAATTAGCAGAAGAGACAGCAGCAGATGGTAGATTAGCCTGGCTAGCGGATATCTCAGTTGATGAAACGGAGGAAAGAAGAGAAGGCAAGAAAGAATCCCAGTTTATGAATCCTATACTAGACAAACTACATATGGCAAATTGAATAAATTCTGCACGAGGTGCGTGACTACTGCAATGAATAACGAGGGAAATAAGAACAGATTCTGCCACTGCACTTAGCTGTTCCTTGTCCTGGAATAACATGTCAGCATGCGTCATTACACAGAAGATAAACAAAAGCAAAGATGTAACATTTCCAAGTGAAAAACTTACAGTAAACTGGCTCTGCAGCTGTCCAAAATCTAAGATAAATTGCTCATTTCGTGGAGGAAGCTCTCTGTTAAGAGCAGTTACTCTCTTCTGTGTCTTGTTCCTGTATATCTCTAACGAATCATAAGACTTTTCTTCTTCTTTTTTTATTCTTTGGGTCAGTGCAATGAAACATATGACTTTAGGCATCATAAAGCACGAGTTTGAAATGAAAAGAGAAGTGAAGCATGCATAAACTGAATGTAGATAGCTGATAAGAATTATGTGTCGAAATCAATTGCTGATAAATTTCAATTTCAGTAATTATTAATAAAAGAAGAGTAGACTTACGGTGGTTCTCTGATAGAATCATCTGATTTTTGTCCAGAATTTTTCTGCCAAAGAGAAAAAAAATAATATAATTGATATTTACAGAAGAAGGGGTTTGAAATTAAAATTGATTACCAGTCCTAAGTATAAATTGAAGAGATCAAGGATGGCAGGTCGAGAGGGATGAAACTGTTGGTGGGACCGAGACCTCAACTGGTGTGTGTTGTTATGCTCCATTTCTCCGCTGCTTGGAGTGGAAACGGGAACTCGCAGCATACTTTTCTTCTTTTCCCCTTCCGATTTAGACTTAGACTAGACAGTCCAAAATTAACTGCAAATATAAAAGACCAAGGAATATATGCTCCACGAGTTTCCCCTGAAAATTATGTCTTTTTTATCACATTGGTCAAATTTATTTCAAGTAAATTTCGATCAAAACTAATAATTATAAAAATTTTATAAAATATAAAGAACACTTCGTTTTTTAACTTTTATAATTCAATCCAAACAATTTTTTTTTAAAAAAAATTCTTTCTTCTTCTTCTTCTTTCAACTTTCTCTCTTTTTTGTTCTTCTTCTTCCTTAGAAATCCAACTATCAAAACAAATATTCTCTCTATTATCTTCCTCCTCATCTCTGGTCCTGAATCTCTCCTCTTACTAAACTGAACTCGTGCGACTTAAAATGCATAAGTCATTAATTAAAAAAAAATTACAAATTTCGAACAATACTAAATTTTTTGTTAGATTAATGAACAGTAAATCGTTCTATAGATGTGAAAATTGAATAATGATGTAATGGTACCTATTATTTATTGTTTTTGAAAGAAATTCAACAAACCCAAAAAAACTTAATTTTGAGGAAATGTATATGTATTGTTAATATTCGGTGAAAAGTCATTCTTTGTTGCTTTTGTTAGTGTTTTTGTGACCATTTTGTTGATATAATTTTAGAAATATAGTCTTGTTAAGTTGTTCAACATATATTTTATTTGTTGAGGGATGTAGCCTATGTTGCCACATGTTAGTGATATATTGGTGCATATTCCAAAGAGTTGTCATATGTTGGAACATCTCACCTATGCGTTAGGGCAACAAAATGGTGATATGTGGCAACAGAACATTTATCTGTGGCAATACAAGATCCATTTGTGGCAACAATAGGTATATTTGTGGCAACAGTGTTACAACACTTAAAATGAAATAGGACTAACTAGAACCTATCATGGGTTCTCTGAGTTAATAAGGTGTTAAATGATGAATAATAGCTTTAGGAGACGTTTAAACAGTTTGGAAGTCGAACTTCAAACCTTTAATTCTTTCAATTCAGTCAGAGTCATCCGGTAAGGAGGAATTGAAATGGGTTTCGTTTCCGGCAACAAATCTATGCTGAAATTTATTTCCCGTTAATGAGGAATTGCGGGCAAATCATCAGGAAGAACTTTCAGAAATTCCTTCACTACGGGTACCGACTCTAAAGGAGGAGCTTCAGACCCAAGGTCTTTGACCCTCACAATATGGTAGAGACATTCGTTATAATCATCTTACAAGCTTTTAAACTCTAAATGATTTAACCTCTAGGGATTGAGTTTCCCCCCTTCCATTCTAAAATGTGTTCATTAGGCAATTGGAATTTAACTACCCTTTTATTACAAACAATAGAAGCAAAACAAGCATGTAATCAATCGATCCCCAATACGACATGAAAGTCCAACATATCAAGTTATACCAAATCGACCAATGTAACTCTATTGGACAATAATATGGACAACACCTAAATACTCTTCTAGCAACAATGGAGTCACCCACCCGGTAGTAACCGAAAAAGGTTCAATTAAGACATAGGATAGCACATCAAACTTCATGGTGACTAAAGGAGTTACAAAAGATAAAGTGGCACCGAGATTTACTAATGCATAAACATTAATGGAAAATACTTGTAACATACCGGTGACAATATTGTGAGAATCCTATTGATCACCACTAGAGCGGAGAGCATAGAAGAGGTTCTTCTTAGGAGCACCGGAATTTGGACCGCTTGTTTGTGCTTGGTTATTCTCATTACCTTGAGCCTTGGCCACGGGACAATCTCTAACCTTATGTTCATTCTTTCCACAACCATAACAAACATGTCACATCCGGGTCTACCCCCTATAAATAACCGGCGGCGGCATCCTCTTTGAGGACTAAGACTAGCCTCTTTGCTGACATCATTACATTCATAGGTCAAATGTAGTGAAAAATTTAAAACATTTCATTACTGCTACTTGGAGGTTTACATAAACCTCAACGTATACATAGTATATATATAGAGAGAGAGAGAGAGTAGACAAAGGCCATTCGTATAGAAAGATTACTTAGTCATCTACTTTTATTGCACGTAGATATATAAAAAAATATAACATAGTCATAATAGTTGTCTCATCTTATAACCATGTAATAAGAGTATATCAAATTGGGTCTAGACCATACATCAATTCAATAAGACCACATATAGGTCATGCAATAATACTCAATTGAACGGAAAGAAACATAAGAGTCTTATGTAACACCTTGAAAATCCAAGGCGTGTCGTAAAGCCTAACATAGGTTTCATATGGTATACATACTATTTTTTTAGTACATTTTAATTAATATAGGTTATTTAGGAATATTAAGAACCAAAACGTTCAAAAACGTCCATGACGTCCGTAAGTTGGTTCAAAGAGGTACTAGCGTGCTTTGTCTATTTGACTAACTTTTAGGAATTGGAAATGTATGAAAATTGGTGAAAAAGGTAGCTAATAGGTGCTAGAATTGTTTCATGGTTGAAACTTTCAGGTACGACTCCCCAAGGATAAACTAAGGGCCATTGAGAAGGACCCTTGTATTTTAAGCAACACTGTCTGGGCAGTGTGCAACGACGGGACCACCTACGGTCCGTGTGTGGACTGACGGTGCATCGATGCCACTGTCATCCCATACTTAGCAAAGTTGAGGAAGTTCTGTGCTTGCACAGTCTCTCAACTCATTGATGGAGTGCAGGATGGAGGGGTGAGGGTCAGTAGGTTCATAGACGGCCCGTCGGCGGGGTTCTGTCTGTGAAGGGTGAGTTTTTTGGACATTTTAATATTAATTCATTTAATTAGGTTGTTTAGGGGTTAGTTAGGGATTAAGGGGAGAATAATTAACTAACTTTAACTCCCATATAAAGGCCCCAACCCCAATTAATCTAATTAGAACACTCAATACAAACTCTCTTCCTTCTCTCTTCTTTCTCTCTCTACTTGAACTCACCAATGAAGACTAGCAAGGAGCAACATTTCTGGGCTGGAAAAGGGACAAATTCACCATCAATTCTTCATCAAACATTAAGGTATGAGATCTTATTCAACTTTGAGACTCTTTCCTCAAAGGATTCCTTCAAAATAGAATTCTTTCCTAAAAGGGTTCCTTCAAAATAGATTTCAAAAGTTGAATTCTCTTATGGGGTTCATCCAATTACGAAATTGAAGTTATGAATTGAGTTGTTGATGATTTCTTTAGGTTATATTGAATAGATTAACATTTAATTTAACTTTTTTATTGTAATTGTTAATGGTTTTGTCTAAATTGAAGAATATGGTCCTCAATCCCTAACCCTAGGTTGTGATCTTGACCTATATTGTATTGTGATCATTCAATTGACTTGATTATTGGTTAGATTACTATCCTATGGTGTTGTATGAATAAATTAAGATGAATTATAGGACTATCATGCTAGTTCTTGAGATGTAATTTAGGTTATTAAGTATATCGTGAAATTGGCTTATGTATCTTGTTTTAAGCTACAATCTAGTGTTGAATTGTGTTATAGAGATGAAATTTGCCTTGTTATCTTATTGTTTTTCATTGTGTGATGATGTTACTCCCCTAGTTGGGTTGAGTTATAGGTTGATGGTAAGACCTTGATGAGTAACTATGAGGAAGACTTAGTAAGTCTTAGAATCTATATATTATATTGGACTATGCCTTGTATTAGGATTGATAGGATGATATGATAATTGAATTGAAATGTCTTGATTATGGTTGTGAGGTTGATTAGGATGTAAATGTTATAAGGATGGTGATGTATACCAATGTGCCTTAATATGAAATGTTATGTAATGTGTTAACCTCACTTATATGAATTGTGATGAAAGGACTATACTCACGCAATTGTTATTGAGATATTGATGATAATGATTATACAAGGGATAGAACCTATGACCTAAAATAAACTATGATTGTTAACTAAATACTTAAAGACATTTCAATAGAGGGACTTAACTTAGCACCGAGTGAACTTGACAATGGGAGGTAATGACTTTCCAAAGATGAAGATTCGCCCTATAGTTCTTTATGAGATGTTGACTTCCCAAAGTGGAATACTCATCCAATGGATTCCCATGAGAGGAGAACCCAATTACCAAGTGGTATCGAGAGGGAATATATTATCTCTTAGTTCTTGAACTATGTTGCCCCATAAGAAGACTAGCAAGTGCATCCACCTAGAAAGCTACGTTTGTAGTTGTTTGTACTTTGGCCAGTAGACCACCTTCCATCGGTGTAAGGTTTTACAACACCGAATTCCACACTTAGCTCATGTGGTCTATGTCGGTTAAGGCCAGTGTTCCCTAAAGTACAATAAAGTAATAAAGTATAAACTAACTAAGGTGACTTGAGAGGTTTAACTTAGCTTAGGTAGGGGTATGGGACTCTACCTATGACTTGCACTAGTTGACTTTGATGGAAGCTTTAGGAAGTTGATATTATGTATGCATATAATAATGATGTATATGATGATAATATGTTGATGCTACAATGTAAATGTCTATATATGATGATGATTATCCTCTTGATATATGTAGTTGGACTATATTGTTAAGTTGGACATTGGTTATGTTTTCTTGTTTAGTCTACTTGGTTGAGTAAGGTTATGGGGCTTTGCTTGGTCATTTCACTTGTTGACTTTATAAGGATTCATGAGTAGTTGTCTTGCTTATTATTATATGATTGACTCTTATTCATTCTTGTGATATTATTCCTTGATGATAGGGTTGTGGTAAATCATGGTTTCAAGTATGTTGGAATATGTATTAATTGTTGAGTTAGTGAGCATGTTTGGTTGGTTGATATCACTTGTTTGGTTTTGCATTAGGTTCCTAAAAGGGTAAAATGGCATGTTTGACTAAAAGTCCCTTTTTAGCATGTTTTTCTTGTATATGTGCATAAGGTCTCATACTTAGTACATGTGGAGTACTAACCCCATCTTCCCTTTTTCCCAAACATTTTAGGTTCCAGTCGTTGAAGAGTTTGGAAGGCGACATTGTTGAAGGCTTAGATTCTTAAGTTCA